TCTAATTCTTACAAAACACATTGTATTCATAAAATAAGAAGAGTAATAGAAACGTTATACTTCATAATTCATGCCAACCCTTCTATATTTTTTTACGGAACATTTGCAAGCACTTGTATTAAAATTTTTTTAATGTAGTTTTTAAGTTAAGCTTTACTTTAATAATTTTTCTTTTACAGATTTGCTCTGTGGGAGGAGGGTCTAGAAGAAGAATATTGTTTAGAAGGTACTTGAAGTAGGATGATTTTAGACCCCTTACTAAAAATCATTACACGTAGATTTAATGAGAAAAGTATTCGACAGTGGTAAGTGTTTTTATTATATGTTAAGAAAAAGCATCAAGCTTTGGTTCTAAATAATTATTATAGGGGAGAAGCAAAATCATTGGCTTCTAATTGTCAAAAAAGATACAATGCAAGAAAACCGGATTTCTGTTTTATTGTAAAAGGAGCAGAAACCCTTCAAGAAATCTTACCAAATAAGGCCCCTAATGATTTATACAAATTATTCCGATTTGGATGTGATTCGAAAGTAATGATGACCACCCAGCTAATTTCAAATAATATATGATACTTACCCGATTATGAAAATTTGTGGAAAAGGCTATGCTGTGTAGAATTATTTCTTCAAGCATGTGGTGAGTCCCACATCAATTGATCTTTATATCATTGATCATTATTTAAAATAAGGTTTGCATTGAATAGAAACAAATCTTCGAATTTTTATAATGGATCGCCTGGGCCCCCACTGTGCCGCGTCCGTGAAATTTTCGATTTCCAAATTCCTTATACTTCTTCAGACGAAATTTCAACTCTTTATTTTACACATAGTCTCTGGAAGATTCAGTTAGGTTTAAGAAATACATCTAGCATGATAGATAATATTTGCGAAGAAATACAAAGACAACGACAAAGACCTCTGATTAATCCCCCTGATGTTCCAGCCGAATTATCCATTGTTCGAGATTTCTTTTCTTTTCTTTTCCATCTCGTCCGGGATTTTTCCAAATTTGGCAGATTGCATTTTGTGTAATAGATTGCAGTTTAGAACTCTATAAAATTTGTTCAAATTTTTATTAGTGAAATTTTAACCTTTTACGATATTCAACGATAACTAATAATTATATACGTGAAAAGAAGACAAATTTTTTTAACGAATTAAATGAGAGCCAAAAAAAAGGCAAGATTTAAGCTTATAGTTTTTTGTTTATTGATTTTCTACGCTTTTATTCTTTTTTTTTTTTTAGTATATACGTCTTAATATCTGTACTAGCAGAATCTTTATTTATATGAATGTTTGGCATGAATTATGAAGTATAACGTTTCTATTACTCTTCTTATTTTATGAATACAATGTGTTTTGTAAGAATTAGA